TTCAAGACTTCCCAGTCTTACTTCCTACTACTCCTGTCCCTCTGCGGGACCTACAAGACTTCCTTCCAATTTCTACAATAAATATTATGTTTCTCTGCCCTGAGACCTTTGCATATAGTCTTGCTGCCATTTCTCCTCCCCCAGACTTTTCAAGATCCAGATTAGATACCACCCTATTCAAGTTGAAAGGGAAGACCTTAGGTAGAATTTTATTTGTTGCATTCATATGGCACTTGCCGTAAAGGTTCCCCGTGCTATCTGAAAGTGTAACATTCCTATTTGGTATGATTTGGTAGGTTATTTTTTGGGTCTGGAAATGTTATTTTGATGTAAATTAATGGTAAAAGTATTCCCAGACACCAAAAAGAACCTACTAATCATACCAAATAGATGTTTTACTTTCAGGTAGCAGAGGAAATCTGTACCTTTTCTTGGGCTTGCAGAAAATTTCAGCATATTCAAAACTTGTTTATAAAATCTCCAACTCACAGTCATTCATGTCTTTGGCTAGCCTAGCAACTTGGTGAACCAAATTTAGCTCAACTTCCTGTTCCTTCATACCTGTTCTTCCAATTTAAATTCCAAAATATAGACTTTAATCTTTTCTTTTAGATCCAAGCTTCTAGACAACACCCAACCCCCCATAAACTCTGTTCACTAGTCTGGCTTATTCTGAAAACATAACCAAGTCCCTCCTTCCTAAAAACAAAATAAACATAAGACTTCTCCTTTCTTCAAATGAAAGTACACTTTTATTTTAAAAAATTTATTTACTTATGCATACAAGAATTTATGCATACAAGGCTAGAGGTGTGGGTGGTGGAGTGAGAGAATTCACCAGAGACAGAGTGGGGAGCAGAACAGGCAGATCTACTGACACACTGCTGAGGGGAGCAGTGTGGGAAACAGGAGAGGTCTGATACACCTTTGGGTGAGCTACCTGGCCAGAGATCATAGAACTCAGGCCACAGTGGCTGGCGATAGCTTGATAGTGCTGAAACCTGAGACTATCTTCTGCACTACCAGGGAGGTCCCAAAAGTACCCTTTCTCCTTAAAATACACACACACACACACACACACACACACACATTTCTGTCTTTACAGTTTGAGCATCAGTCTTCTGAGGCTTCTGGAAAGTCAACCATAACATCACTTGTACTGCCAAATACGTCTTTCCTCCTACTGAGTACCTCTCTTCCATGAACTCTTTAACTTACTCCTGAATGCTTCTCCAGTTTCCATGCCCTCATCTGCCCCATATCTCCTAAGATCTGTTCTTGGGTCCTCTGCAAAATTTGACATCTATGAGGATCTGTCTGTAGCCCTAACTTTTCTTCTAAGCTTCATTTCCAGTTCTTTGTTAGTGTATGTATACCTCACATACTTGTCAACATGGCAATGTGAAAAAGTTGATTTATTGTATTTTTCTTCCTTTCAGTTCTCCTCAAATCCTGTCTCCTGTCCTTTCAGTCATAACCATTGGCATACCTTCTTTCAGTTATTTATTTTTAATCACTCTTACTGCATAACTTTCTCTGCTAGTCCATTTAGGAATTGGCCACAGATTAATAGGTGTGCTTTTTGAGGTAACAATTTCAGTAGAGTTGTTGGTGGTAGTGGTGACAGTCTCAGAAAACTCAAAGAAGAGATGAGGAAAGAACTGTAGGACTGGAAATTGGCTCCAAGTTAATTTTTGATGAAACCTTCACCAATGTACATAGAACTTTCTCTTTTACACTCTCAAATAAAATCATCTTCTTGATTATATATTAATGTAATTTCTTTTTTCGAGATGTAATTCTAATTCTCTGCCTTTGCCATAAATATGGCAATTCCATAAATTGGCTTATTTGCCAAATTGTAAGATTTATAAAGCACAGGAGCCGCATACTTTGGGTAAAGACCTTGGTGTCACCTTTGCCACCTGTGCTGATGGTGTCCCTTTGAGACTGACTGCTTCCTTGAGGAACAGATGGCAGTGAAGACAGGTGACTCAGAGGACTCCTGGTCTTCTGTGTTCAGCATGCATGGGTGGGGCAGCTCCTTCACCTCCCTAACTTTGTATTTACTACAGATAGTGTCCTAATCACTAAAGTGTTACTCAAGTTGGGAGAGTCCATTCAATTTCACATTAAATAAGTAACAAAAAAACCAAACCAAAACAAAACAAAACAAACACCTCTTTACACCTCCAAGGTGGGGAGATGATAACGCTAGCTCTACCTCCCTGGAGGGACACTTCCACCTGGATCCCAACCCCCACACTCTTGCTGTTTCTCCCTCAGGCCTGGGCCGGTTTGATGACTCTAATCCTTCTATAAAGCTTCTCCTGGAATGCTTTGCTTCCTAGGTTGGGAACTGGTAGGTGGACTTTGCCCTGCTGGACCCACGCCTAACTTCTGAATGCTGGGGGAAGGGGAAAGAGAGCTGCTGTGAACGCGGCAGTTGCATTTACTATTTTTCAGTCCTAAATAAGTGCACAATAAATACTGTCTGTCTTATAAATGATAACCTTATCCAACGCCCTGCAAAGTAACTTAAATAAACATCCCTTTTGCATATTTCAACTGCTAAAATCTAGGAAGGCAGCTTTAGTACAATTTAACCACAGCAAACATATTATATTGGTGGAATGTAGTTTGCAAAGCACCCCCGACCTCACTTCTCTGGGTACAATTTCCCCATTTTTTGAAATGCTAACCACTAACATGGATTCACAATCTTGGGTCGAGTTCCCTTCCGTTTGGAAAGACCATTTCTATTCTACGTACATGTACAGCCTCCGTTTCCATTCATTACTTCAACTAATATTAAACGGCTGTTATGTGCCAGTCCCTGTTGTAGGCTTTTCAGATTATGTAGGAAACAAGTGATCCTTGCACCTGCTGGACCTTGTCGTAGGACGAGACTAACGATGAATATAATTTTTAAAGTGATATAGTTAAGGTGATAAATACAATGCAGAGAAAGGTATCAGGCAGGAAAATGATTTGTGGAGGCCAGGGGACAGTGGAAGAAAATTCAGGGCTGACGTTCTGGCTCAGGTTGGGGAAAAGGGTGAGGAGCTGAAGTGCTACAGATTCTGACGTCGGGGGACAGGGGCGTTATTTGCTGGAGAAGGTGACGGAAGGGTGTTTGGCTTACGCAGGGGAGGTGAAGTGCAGAAAGGTATCTGGACAGATTCCTCGTTGAGAAGACTCGAGGCGGGGACCGATTTTCCAGCTGAGACGAGAAGACGCTCCGGCTGGCGGCTTCCCAACCAGGACGCGGCGGGGGTCGCAACCACTACGCCCCCAAAATGGCCTCCAGATGCCTCTCCACCGCCCGCTGGCCCACGTGACCCGCCCCGCCCACCCGGGCTGGCGACCCCCAGTTCGGGTCCTTTCGGCGGAGGCCCCGCCCCTTACTGGAAAAAGACCAATAGAAGGGAGGGTAAGGCGGGGCGGGTGGTGACGACCAATGGGGGTGGAGCTCCACGGGGAGTAACAGGTTGTTGGGAGGGGGAGAAAGGAGGGAGCGCGGAGGGACAGAGGGGGAGGGCCTGGGAGCCGCGCGTGCAGCTTCGCCCGAGCCCGAGCCCGAGCCCAACCCCGAGCCCGAGCCCGAGCCCGGGAGCGCCGAGCCCGGCTGGGGTGAGTGAAACTGGCGGGGGCAAGGGTACCTGAGAGGCCAAAACGCCCTCAGCTACATCTTTGAGGGGCGGGGGTCGAGGCGATTGGAGGTACCAGGGCACAGGTGCTGGGTTAGAGGAGGAAGGGAGGTACAGGTACGGTGGGAAGACTGATTCAGAGCTGGCTCCTACTGTAAGGTGCCAGAGGCAAGTGGTTGGGAAGGTGCCAGGTGAGGCTAAGGCTATTCCCTGGGCAAGAAAGCGTTTCAGAGCCAGGATATCTCTGGAGGTCAGACGCCGGCCCCGGGGGCAGAATTTCTCCTGGAGATCGGGGTGGTGGTGGGAAGGAATAAGTCCCAGATGGACAAAGGGAACTGCCGCCTGAGGTTCGGAGGCGTAAAGGGGAGGATTTCAGAGAAGTGCTGTTTCCTGGGGTTCGTCCCTGCCCCCACACCTGCCCTCCGCCCCCCACTGGCGATCTGAGTAGTAGGGCGGACACCTCCTGCTGACTTTAAGATAACAGAGGTGTAGACTCTTTCTTTAACCTATAGGTGAAGACAGTTGCCTCTAAGCGACACGGTAGGGCAGAACAAGAGGACACCCCCTTTTCTTTGCTAGGTGTGAAACCAAGGCTTTCTGTTTGTGCCCTGCTTTGCTTTCATGCCAGGGAGAATTTTTCCTTCTTGATTTTGAGAATGCACTCCAAGAGTGGGATGTGAGCAAGCATAAATTCCTGGACCTACAAAATGTAAATACTAGAATTACTTCTTTCTGACAAGGCTCCTTTCCGGTAGCAAATGTCAGACCCTTCCCTAAACACACACATACCCTCTTCTGTATCTCTATCTAGTTGGGTCCGTTGGGTGAGCCTTGGCAACCTAAACAGTTCCCTTGCTACCTCTCAGAACATCTGTGACATCCCACCAGGCATCCCTGATTCGGGGCATAATGGCTGTCAGAATGGCATTGCAGGACAACAGTTAGGACTCCTCAAGGAGAACCCAGAATAGGAGAACTAGCTCTTGCAGGTGTCCAGGCTGGATCAGAGGTGCACATTGGGGCCCAGACAAAACGGAGGCAGATTTCCTTGCCTTAGGCAGCTTAGGGAACCAGAGCCAGCCTTAACGTGGCCCCTTTGATGCCCTGCCTGAGGAAAGTTGTTGTAATTGGGAAATAATTAGCAGCCTCTATGTTGTAGACAGGCTGCCTGCACGTGCCTCTACACCTCGTCTTTGATCCTGGATATTTGGATATGGGGGACTGGTTCTAGGGACTGCTAATCCAGAGATTTGCCAACCCCTAAGAGAATCCTGGCTTCCTAGAACCCTTCCTGCTTTTCCCAGGCTGACCTGCACCATCACCCATGAGAAAGGTGAGGCAGGAGGACTGCTTCTCTTCATGCCAGGAAAGGGAGAACTAAGGAGCAGGGAGCTGGCCAAGGCAGTGTGGGATCTGGACTATAACTTCGGGAACTTGAGAAGGAGGGGCATAGAGACAAAGTCTCCCTGTCACACATTGGCCTGTCACTCACCCAGTTTGTGCCTCTGTTCCTCCTGCCTGTGCCCTCCCCTTCTTCTGCATCCACCTTCAGAGCCGTGGCCTTGGCATCTAGACTGGACCAAGTCCCTGCCCATGGTTTTCCCCTCTGCCTCCTCTGTGGTGTGGAATGTCTCTGGTCTGCATTACAAGCTGCTAGTGGAGTCCCTGACCCTCCCCTTCCTCTTACCTCTCAAACCAGTCCAGCCAGTTTGCAGGGGCCCAGTTTCTTGTTGTGTTCCCCTGCCACTGGCCAAGCAGCTCTATCCTGGCTCTCAGGTTTCGCCGTTTTCAGTGGACTGAGCCAGGAGTCCACTTGGAGGGGGTTCTTTTTGGAACCACACAGAACCTTCTTATCTCAGTAACTATGAGAAAACCCGAGCCAAATGATCAAGGTCATTGAGTTGTCCTTTTCTATTTTGATCATTTGCTTTCCTTGTTACCTCTAAGGGGAGTCTAATTCAGAGATGTATAAATCTGCCAATTATGTGGCCTCTAGCATATTGCCCAGCCCTGTGTATATCAGTTCTTTCTCTGCACACACCCGAACCACCCCACCCCCACTTCCGGCCAGGAGTCCAGAGACCCTGTTCCTCCTCCTCCGAAGCCAGCCACTTATGGCTGGGCTGGTGGTGATGGAATTGGGGCAGGGCAGGCTAATGAGTAACTCGGAGAAATGGCTGTCTGGTACAGGTTCGGAGTTTTCCCCTTCCCTTACTTCCCCTTCTTTGCAGGCAGGAATGGCAGAGGCAGATTTATGAAGATTAATGTGGCTGGTTCTCTTTCTAGAGTACAGCTGGTGAGGAGCACTCTGGGCACATGCCAGAGGAGGAAAAAACAGGGCCAGGGCCAGGGCCAGGCATCTGGTAAGAGCTAAGGCTCTGGATTCCATGTTGGTTGGCACTCTCGCTCACTGTTTACCTGCTTTGGGGCTTATGCAAGGCCTTGGAGCGGCCCTGTTCCCTTGGCCCCGCCCCCCTGTCCTCTGTAACTGAAGGCGGATAGGTTTCCAGTTTTCCATGTTGAATCATTTAGAGTCCTGCTTTCTGACCTGCCCAGCCCTCCTGGCCCCTAACCCATGTGTGCTAGGACTACAAGTGGTTGAGATAAGGGAGCCATTGTGACCTGGGGGTGCGCTTGCTGCTGTGTCTCAACACGTTAGTGGTGTTGCACAGGTGAGGGGCTACGTGTGCCTCTGAGCCTGGACTGGGAACTCCTTGACCTGGATCTGGAAGATCAGCAGATGCCTTGACTGGGTAGAGCTGCATCATGAATAAATCATGTGACTTCTGTGCAGTCTAGGCACATCTGGTTTCGACATCTTGACCAAATAGGGGGCGTCCAAGCCAGGAGAGGCCCAGTAAAGGAGGCAAAGGAGAAATGACTGAGAGGGGTTCGTGGGCGAATCTCCCCACTGCTGTGGAGTCTGCCTTGGTTCTGGATACACTGTCTAACAAATAACAAATGCTTTTTAACATCTACCATGTGCTAGAACCTTAGGATCAAGAGTCAGCTGAGAGCCTTTGCCCTCCAGGAGTTTATGATCTAGCTGTGGAGTCAGACAGGAAAGCAATCATCACTCCAATAAAAGTGTATAACTAAACCCAGGCAAACTCAGTGAAGGACAACTGTAGCACATACAATGCAGATCTGACCTACTTTGTGGGAGGGGATGGTCAGGGAAGGCTTCTCTGAAGAAAATGAGTCTTCCTGAGAACCCGGTGAAACCAGGAAGTTCCTGTTGAAAGGCACAGTGCCTGTGCAGGGTGTCCTCTTGTCAGTTATGGGACAGGTGTAAGCATTCATGTGTTATATCTTATGGTTTCCCCTCTTTTTATAAGAGTGGAACCTAAATAAATAAAACCCCAAAACCTTAAGTGTATAACTTGATACATTTTTACAGTGTTATAACCTCATGTAATTATTATCTAATAACCTAATGAGCTATTATCATGAGGTAATTTTACAGAGTCCTATTTTATAGATGAGGAAGCTGAGGCTCAGGAAGGCTGTGACTTGCCCAAGGTTATGCACATCTAGGGAAGAGCCGAGCGAGTATTCCTAACTTTAGTACAGGCCTTTTCTACTGCATGAGGCTTCCGGAGAACTTGCCTGCTTGCCCTGAAGCTTCTTTTCTGGTTCCATTTTTTTTTTAATTTTTATATTAGCTTATTGTTACATATTTCTGTGCATTTTTCCATCTCAGTTGCAATCCCCTTGAGTTCTGGTTCCATTTTTTACTTATATTGCAACATAGTGTCCTGCCGATTAAATATCTTGATCTTTGGAAGAACCAAGACAATGCTTGGTCAAAGCCCTTCCCTATGACCAAATGCTGGAAGGAGGTGTGTGTGTGTGTGTGTGTGTGGGTGTGTGTGTGTGTGTGTGTGTGTGTGTGTGCGCGCGCGCGCTTTGTGTTCATGGATGGGCCTTAAGGTGGTTTACCTACCTCTTGAGATGTCTATGGTTAGTTTGTGTGGGTGGTCTCCCGGGGTGGGGAGAGTGCATTGCTTTCCAAATTCTCCAGTGGGGTTTCACCACCAAAAAGGTAAAGAACCATCACCTATAAAGGGCTCCTCCCAGGGCCTGTCTCTGGAGGGGAAGGGTTAGGAATGCTTGGAATGCTGTCCTCCCACAGCATACAGTTTCCCCCACTAAGCCCTTGCTTATACAGAGCTTGTCCCCTTGCTCCCCACCCAGTTATCCTGGGCTCCCTAGTTCTTCTACAGTCTCTGTGACGGCCTTGCCCAGTTTCTCAAGGAGGCTGAGCTGGGTGTTTGTGTTTCTGTGTGACCCTGTAAAAGGATCTTCTTCGAGTTTGGTAATATGCTCTGGTGGAGATTAGCAGAAGGGCTGGGAAGCTGGATTTCTGGTTTGATCAGAGGAGAACCTCTCCTCAAGTTCCTGGAGCCAGAGCGTACCTGGGTACATTCCAGTTGCTGACTCTGAGCTTGGGAATGCGGACCTGGGACCTGACCCATGGGGAGTCTTGGCTCTGGCCCTCAGATGGGATAAGTCTGCCTGGCTTGGGCCCCCAGGGATTGGCACTCTTAAACATTGCTTAAGTTCTATTTTTTAATAGATATAGTTCTAAACTCAAAAGGACAAAAAGATTTATAGTAGAAAACCAATCACTCCTATCCTTGTCCCCAGCCCTCAGTTCTCCTAACACAGAGAAAGCTCTACTATCAGTTTCTTCGCGTATTCTCCCAGAAGTGGGGTGGCTTTTCATTGGAGGTGGGGCAGGCTGGGAAAGGCACATGATGGTTCCGCATGTGTGTCTTCAAACTCTTGACAAAGCCATACTCTGCTGTCTATATCAGAGGAAATGGTTCCATATCAGTGGGTCTCAAAGCATGGAGTGTGACCAGTAGCATCAACCAGCATCAACTAATTAGAAATCCCAGTCCTTGGCTGCCCCCTCAGACAACTGAATCAGGAAGTGGGAGAGGGCACAAGGTCCAGCAGTCTGTTTTAACAGGCCCTTTGGTTGATTCTGCTGATAAGATAAAGTGTGACAATCACTGTACCAGATAGAAGGATCTGACAGGGCAGGTGGCACTTCCTGGGTTTGTTTCCACTCTCGCAGCCTTAAACATGTTCCCCATCTTCTAGCACCCCCTCCCCCTTCCACGGAGCAGACACCCACCATGACTGAATCCCGCGGCCCTGTAGACCACGGAGTCCAGATTCGCTTCATCACAGAGCCAGACGGTGATGCAGAGATGGGCACCCTCCATCGTGCTCGACGCCCCGCGAAGGATGCCAGAGCCAGTACCTATGGCGTGGCAGTGCGTGTGCAGGGCATTGCTGGGCAGCCCTTTGTGGTGCTCAACAGTGGAGAGAAAGGTGGTGACTCCTTTGGGGTCCAAATCAAGGGGCCCAACAACCGAGGGGCTCCAGGAGCTCTGAGCTCCCACTCAGAAATCCCTGAGAACCCCTATTCCCAGGCCAAGGATTTTGCTGCCCCCTCTCATGGCAGCATGTCTGATGAGGAACCTGGGGCCCACCAGAGTGGAAGGCTGCTCCGCTCCCAGTCCCACGCCTCACTGACAGACCCTGCTCCTCTGGGTCCGAGCAACAGGAGCACCAGCCTGCTGGAGCTGGCCCCTGAAGGGAGCACCATTGACACTGCTCCCCTGTCGTCAGTGGACTCCCTCATCAACAAGTTTGACAGTCGCCCTGGGGTCCAGACACGGGGCCGCACTGGCCGCCGCATGCGGGCGCTGCCCCCGGAACAGCGTAAGCGGAGCCAGAGCCTGGACAACCGGCTCCCACGGGACACCCTGGAGGAACGGGAGCGCCGGTCCCCCAACCACTGGACCCCGACCACAAAGCAGGACCACCACGCAGGCAGCTCAAAGCAACCATCCCAAAGCCAGAGTCCTTTCAGCAGTCTCAGCCGCTCCCATCGGACCCAGGACTGGGTTCTTCAGAGCTTTGAGGAGCCGCAGGGGAGAGCACAGGACCCTGCCATGCTGCAGGTTAGACCTCACCCTTCTCAGCCCTGGGACCTCTTGTTGATTCATATAGACTGGGACAAAAGTCTGCACCCTCTTTCTCCCCTCTATACCTCCAGAGGTGGTAGTCACTTGTACAAGAGACTTCCCTGGGAGAGACTCTGAAGGGACTGTGACATCACCACTCCCAAGCATGCCTTGCCTCACCATTAACTGTGCCTCTGTCACCAGCACCGGCTAGGGCTGCAGCATACGTAAAGGCAGGCTCAGGGGATACCCAGTACCCCCATTCTTCCAGGGTGTCCCATAGGAGTCAATGCCCCTTCCAAAAATCCCTTTATCTCCCGCTCAGCAGTGCAAGTTAGCAGGGAAGTAACTTTCCCAAGACACGCACTCTTTCTAAAGTAAATCATTGACAAATTCTAGCACATTAACTGTCATTAGTAACAAATTACTGGGACAAGCTGCTTGAGATCCGGTTGAAGAAAATCTGGTTTGACCCAGCAGCGGCAGTGTGTCCGCTGGGCCTGCTCCCTCGCCTGTGGCCCAGGCCTCCAAACTGTTGCCTCTTTATCCCACATCCGGGTCATGCACCTGGTTTTAAAAATCCTGGCTCCCTCCACTTCATCTGAATCCCTTGCAGCCTTCTGACTTCTTTTCCTTGGGCTTCCCCTTTTGTAGTTCAAATCAACTCCAGACCTCCTTCGCGACCAGCAGGAGGCAGCCCCGCCAGGCAGCGTGGACCATGTGAAGGCCGCCATCTACAGCATCCTCAGGGAGGGGTGAGTGGGTCATGCCCCTCTCTTTTCTTTCTTTTAGCCATGTTCTCCATCTTCCCTCCTCTTTGCTCTTCTCTTGTCCCTCTACCTCTTCCCCTCCTAACCTTTGCTTCTGTCCTTTGATTCTCCAGAAGCTCAGAAAGTGAAACCTCAGTGAAGAGGAAGGTCAGTTTGGTGCTGGAACAGATGCAGCCCCTGGCGGTGAGTGGCCTCTTGGTGAGTCGGGGTCAGGGTTAGGACTTTGGGATCTGGATCTGGACTCACTTCCTCCCCTGAATGTTTCTGTCAGGTGACTTCTGGTTCTGCTAAGGCCCTGGCAGGGCAGGGTGAACTCACTCAGAAAGTGGCGGAGCTACAGCAAAAGTTGGAGGAAGAGGTGAAGGTGAGGAGAGGCTAGAGAGGTGCAGAAGGGGTGAAAATTCAGAGGAAAATCCTGGGTTGGGGTCGGCTCTTCTGAGTGATGGAAGGAGCCCCTATGTGTCTCGCGAGCTGAGACGGGTGCGCTCTCTGGAGCTTCGAGAGGAGGAGCATGCTCAGCAAGCTGTCCAGCTACTTTCTGTAACATTTCCTTTTCCACAGTTTGCTAATTCTATTGTTGAGCAGATTACTTACTTCAGTTCTTTTCATCATCACTTAATGATGGCAACAATAGTAATTGTCATTTAATAGCATCATTTTTTATAGTAGCTACTGTTCTGAGTAATTTGTAGTAATGATAGTGACTATGTTAGAAGGCACCCTGGGCCCTTTTATGATGAGAAAGTGGAAGGTCAGAGAGGTTGAGTGAGTTGCTCAAGGTAGCACATTCCGGAGTAGGAATTTAAAAATTCAAGTCAGTTTTATTCTAAAGTTTTTCTGCTTCCCTCACCCCCTTTTAAATACTGCTTCTGCCTCTCACAGTATTTATTGTGTTATTTGTAGTTGGTGTTCGGTAACTGTTAAATTGTAACCCCCTTTGTTTCCTCCAAGAGACAAGTATATTGAGTAAGTGGTGGGTTGTAAAATCAAACTGAGCTCAAATCCTGTTACCCATACTTGTTTACTGTATAACTGATTTGGATAGGTTCTTCAACTGTTCCAAACCTATTTCCTTAACCCGCTGTGCCACCAGGGAGGGCCCGCTGGAGGTGTTTTAAACACTCACAGAAAACCAGGACTTGTTAGGAAGATTTAAAATACAGATGTAACAATGTTTCTATCAACTGGGGACCATGTATACAATGTGGTCCCTATATAGCCTGGGGTATCATGGGGTATAATGTCTAGCTAGGTTTGTGTGATGTTTGCACATTGATGAGATCACCTAATGACTCATTTCTCAGAGTGCATTTCCCAGCATTAATTGACACACGACTAATATATTTATATGCAGAGTCCCCAGGACAGTGCCTGTCATATAGTATCAGTAAAAGGTAGACATTCCCATTTTTCTGTGCTCTGAGGATTTTCCCTGCTCCTCCACCTGCTTCACTCTAATTTCCTTTTCCAGAAGCGGCAGAAGCTGGAGCCATTCCGGGCAGGGCTGGAGGAGCAGCTGGAGGAGAAGACAGAGGAGTGCATCCGCCTGCAGGAGATGCTGGAGAGGAAGAAGGGGGAAGCTCAGCAGAGCACCAAGGAGTGAGTGCTGCTGATGGAGCATGAGGGCCACTTGGGGTACTGAGGGGCATAGAGTGAGATCTCCAGAAGCTGAAAGGGGCTGAGAGAAGTGGCTTAAAAACTGGCCCTTTCTCTTTACCTTCCCTGTTAGTAATGGTGATAGTGCATGGGTTAGCTAGCTCCTTGGGGTGCCTCTGTGCCTCTGGTTCCTTATGTGGAAAATGGAGTTCGTAGTAGTACCTGTCTACAGGATTGTTGTGATGACTCCGTCATCCATTCAGCAGGTGTTTTTGCAGTGAATGCAGGGTGACAGGCATGAATCTAGATTCCTGGGGCCCTCAGAGAACTGTACAGAAAAGCCCTGCTCTCTAGATGCAATGTCTGGTGACGGGGAACAGACAGTAAACAATAAATGTAGCATGTGAGTAAATTTGTACTAGGTGAGAGGGTGATAAATAGAGTAGGTTAAAGCGGATCACATGGGCTGCATTGTGACAGGTTGTAATAGCAAATCAGGTAGTTGGGGGAAGGCATGTTAAAGTTTAAACATAGACTGGAAAGTTTACTTTTTTTTTTTGGTAGGAGGTTTTAATGAAGTAAGACATATGTTTAGAAAACTGCCTGACACATGCTCAATTATGTTATCTATAACTATTAGGCTCCAGAACGTGAAGCTTCTCCTGGATCAGAGTGAAAGGGTCCGGCGTGGGCTAGAGATGCAAGTGATGGAGCTACAGGACAAGCTGAAACAAGCCCAGGGGTCCGACTCTTCAAAGAAAGCACTTATGAAGGTGGGGAGCAGTATTGAACCCCATCTTGTTCCTCCTTTCAGATAGAGCATGCTCAAGTCTCCCCAAAGTCTGGGGAGTAGGTAGTGTAATACAGATATCTCTGAGAGTGTGTTTTCAGGCCAACTTTCTGGTGGGTGGGACTAGGGCCCCAGAATGGTGAGCTTTTTTTATTATAACTAGATATCTTGGAGGACAGAGAGCACCTGGTACTGTGCTTAACCTGGTGCTCAATAAATATTTTCTGATTGACTAAATGAGTGAATGAATAGAAGGTGGATCCTAACTAACATGATGACTTCTGTACTTCTCCCTTCACTTTCCCCAGGACCTGTTAGAGAGTCGGGAGCTTCTGGAAGAAGTCTTAGAGGGGAAGCAGCGGATAGAGGAGCAGTTGAGGCTGCGAGAGCGGGAGCTGACGGCCCTGAAGGGGGCCCTGAAGGAGGAGGTGGCCTCGCGGGACCAGGAGGTGGAGCATGTCCGCCAGCAGTGCCAGCGAGACACAGAGCAGCTTCGCCGGAGCATGCAAGATGCGACCCAGGCATGTGACACAAGTGGCGGACTGGAAGGGCTGCCTTGGGGCCTTAGTATTTTTGGACTTTTCATGTCTACAACTGGAGCTTCCCCTAGGGGACACATATAAAATATGATGAAAACCGTGGCCAGGAAACCTCCATGGATAGAGGGAGAACACACAGGCTGGCATGTGTGTGTGTGACCAGCATCCCAAGGGGAAGTTATGGGGGGACCAAGAAGGGGTTTTCTGTAGATGATGGAGAGGTGGATTATAACTTGGGGAGAGAACCGTCTGCTAGCACGGAATCAGAGTGTGCAGCTGGCGCACCGGACCTGAGCTGCCCCTTCTCCATTCACAGCTTGGCTTAAGTGAGCTCTTCCCGTGGAGCCTCCTGGCCCCTTACTCTCCTCTTCCCTAGGACCAAGCAGCTTTAGAGGCTGAGAGGCAGAAGATGTCGGCCCTGGTGCGTGGGCTGCAGAGGGAGCTCGAGGAGACCTCAGAAGAGACAGGGCATTGGCAGAATATGTTCCAGAAGAACAAGGAGGAGCTTAGAGCCACCAAGCAGGAGTAAGGACCTTGCCCCTCCCAAAAATATTAATCTGTAGTACTTTAATCCCTTTCTACTCATGCTGTGCTCTACTCTTCTACACAGCCACCTTCTTCCCTCCTGAGAGTGAGTGCCCCATGTATTGGACTCCAGGGAGGTGTTTTTGCTATCCTGCTGCCCTCTCCCAGACAAGCAGACTAACACTGACCCCTTTTCCTTTTATTTTACCTTGCTGGGCTCAGACTTATGCAACTGCGGATGGAGAAGGAAGAGATGGAAGAGGAGCTTGGGGAGAAGGTGGAGGTCTTGCAGAGGGAATTAGGGCAGGCCCGAGCTGGGGCTGGAGATGCTCGCCAGATGGAGGAACTCAAGAAGGTAACGAGGGGCATAAGACAGGTGGGGGTTATAGGCACCTGCCTTGCTTCCACGAGCACCTCCCCACTGTCTCATGTGGTTCCTTTCAGGCCCCACCTGCCTGTTCAGCTTTTATCTTTTCTCAGCCTGCTGCTGCAGAGTGCGGGTTTCCTCCCTGAGTGTAGCAGTTTCTAGTGGAAAGGACTCTCAGTGCCCAGATTGGGTTATAGCCAGAGGCTGCTGGCCACCTCCCAAGGGACCTCATGGCAACAGCTTTTAGGTGGATTTGTGAAACACAAGGGTTATTTTTGCAAGGCCTGGAACCTTATTTGGTCAGTGTAGCAAGAGCTGCTCTGTCTCAGGGACTCATTAACTACATTTTGGAAACAAATGTTTACAGTTAGAATGCCAGTTTGTTAGCCTACAATGAAGTATTGTCACATGGACAAGAACACTTGCATTGGCATGGCCAGCTGACCCATGTGGAAAGCCAAATTGTAACTTGAAGGCTGCTCAGGGAGTAGAGAATCTTGACATGAGGCGTTTAAAAAGGCCTGATGTTTAACATTTCAGCTCCCCACTCACCAAGACATGGCCTTGGAGGGGAGCGGTAACACTTGAAGTTCATCAGAGAGACCCTCTCTGGTCTTTCCTTTTCCTTTCTTTTAAATCCTCTTTATAAAATCAAACATGAATGATACTCCAAGAAAGATAAGGTAATAAAACAGAGGTGAATACAAATACTTTCCTCATGTTTCTAAAATTGTCGAAAACAGTTAATTATTTTGGGTGATTTTTGTTAATTTTAGGGAATTTACAACTTATGGTCTGAGGATCCTTTGAGTCTACATTTCCTTGATTCATTTTCCTGGATATGTAATAGATGCTGCGTTAACCAGTATTAATTAATCAAAGCTTATTTAGCATGTCTATAACATGACATTATTTGAATCAAGGATCGTTTAAAGTCTGTTCACTATATTATCTGGCATAGTGAACTTAGACATTCCTCTGAATAATTTCAGTTGATATTTATTGTGCCAAAATAAAAAAAGGTATTAACTAGCGTTTCATGTATTTCATATGTTGTTTGTTTTAGTAAGTATTTGAGCAATAAACAAAATATACATTAGGAAACAGATTAAGCAAGTCCAATATGGACCACATACTGTGTTTTTCTTCTTTTTGTTAATATCTCTGTGTTATATAACCTGTCAAACTAATTATGGTACTTTCTGAATTTCAGAAGAACATAATAGCTAATTAATTAGAACCAGAAACTCACTTTTTTTTTTTAAAGATTATTTATGCATACAGAACTGGGGCACAGGCCAGAGGTGCAGAGGGTGAAAGGATTTATCGGAGACAGAGTGGAGAGCAGAACAGACAGATTGAGGAAGTACACTGCCGAGGGATGCAGTGGGCCATATGGATCTCCTCCGGGGCAGGCAGGGACCGAACCAGCACTGAAGCGGCTGCCTCTAGCTTGCAGTGCTGCACTTTAACCCACCGCACCACCAGGGAGGGCCCCTCACTTAATTTTTTTAAAAAAGAAGTCAGAGTGGCACAGTATACAGTGTATCATATATCTTCACTTTTCAACATATTATTTTTTTTAATCTAACAATCCTGTTGTATCCATATTATCATCTGCTCTCACTCCATCTAACTTTAATGCAGATTTAGTATGTAGCATAAAATTCAGCATTTTAAAGTATAAATTTAGGGCCCTCCCTGGTAGGGCAACAGGTTAAAGCATAGTACTGTGAAGCTGTCCACAGCCACTGCAGTATGAGTTCCATTCCCGCCAGGGAGCTGACCACGTATAGCACACCAAACCTCTCCTTTCCTGCCTGCCGCTCCCCTCAGCAGTGTTTCAGTACATCTGCCTGCCCTACTCCTGACTCTGTCTCTGGTGAAACCTCTCACCCCCCACACCTCGGGCCTGTATCCCAGTTCTTGTATATATAAATAAGTCTTAAAAAAATAAATAAAGTATATAATTTAGCAGTATATTTTGTAGTATATTCACAGAACTATACAACCATTACTACAATCTAACAACAATATTTTCATAACCCCCCAAAATAACTCATTCACAGTGACTACTTCCACCCCTTTATAACTACTATGGTTGTGCCTATTCTAAGCATTTCATAAGTGGACTCATCATTTATGTTTGACTTCTTTTATCTAGCACAGCATTTTTTAAGGCTTATCGATGTTGTAACACAAGTATTTAAGGCTTATCGATGTTGTAACATAAGCATTTTTTAAGGCTTATTGATGTTGTAATGAAGTATTAGTGCTTCATTACTTTTCATGACTGAATAGCATTCCAATGTGTGGATATGCCACATTCTATTAACAAATTAATTGAATGGATTTCTTTTAAGATTTATTTATTTATGCATATAAGAACTGAGGTACAGGCCAGAGGTACAGGGAGTGAAAGGATTCACCAGAGACAGAGTGGGAAGCAAAACAGGGAGATCAACTAAAACATACTTCTGAGGGGGCCAGGGGGCGAGACAGTAGAGGTCTACTGCACCATCTGGGTAGTCTGAGGTAGATCCCTGCCATGTGGCCAGGGTCAAGCTCGTGTGTGTGTGTGTGTGTGTGTGTGTGCGTGCGTGTGTGTGTGTGTGTGTGTGTACCTTCAAAGTGCTGCAATTTAACCCCTTGTGTCACCAAGGGGATTTGAATCATTTCTATAGTTTAGCTATAATGGACATTCATGTATAAGTTATATATGAACCCTCTTTCACTTCTTGCATATTTATATATTAGTGGAGTTTCTGGGTCATATAGGAAAGATGGTTAACTTTTTGAGCAATTGTCAGATCGTTTTTGCAAGGAACCATGCCATTTTAGGTCTCCCCGCACCCAAAAGTATGGGAGCACGATGGTTCTTCATATTCTGGTAGCCCATGCTGGGTCTCTTTGCCTTGGCACATTTCCTTTCCCTTTTAGGAGCTGCACCAAACACAGGAGGAGCTGAAGGATGTGCAGGCAGAGCAGCAGAGCCAGGAGGTGGCTAGGCGACACCGGGAACGGGAGTTGGAGAAGCAGCTGAGGGCTGAGGCCGATAGAGGCCGGGGCCTCGAACAGCAGAACGTCCAGCTGCAAAAAACTCTCCAGCAACTCAGACAAGAATGTGAAGAGGCTTCCAAGGCAAGGGGAGTGGGCACAGGGTTTAGAAGGTGGAGACTGAGGGGACTGGAGGGCTGAGGAGCCAGAGGGCGTGGAAAATTACCTGTCCTGGTATGTACAGACCAGATCCTTGGTCCTGTGTGTGGTTAAAAGCAGCCAGGATTTGGTAGGGGGAGGCACGTGGTGGCACTTGCTGTATCGCTGTAGGGTTGGGTTCTCAGGGGAGCCTGTCATTGGTGGTACTAATCCTCGTTAAGGTTTTAATCCTTGTGAGCTCTTTGGATGACTTTCCTGGGGGTGGCCCGTGACCCTGAGCCCTGGGGTCTGAGCCGCCTTCCCTGAACTGGACGCAGGCTCAGCTGGCAGCAGAGGCAGAGGCTGCAGTGCTGGGGCAGAGGCGCACGGCAGTGGAAACGACGCTTCGGGAGACCCAGGAGGAAAATGATGAATTCCGACGGCGCATCCTGGGTCTGGAGCAGCAGCTGAAGGAGACGCGAGGGTTGGCGGAAGGAGGGGAAGTGGCGGAGGCCCGGCTTCGGGACAAGCTGCAGCGGCTGGAGGTCTGGCTTCCTCCTGGCCCTTCTCCTCTCATCCTGGCTTAACACTCAGCCCTAGCTAGGTTCTGCTTTGCCCTTAGTGTGCTGCTTTTCACCTCCCCAACCTTGTGTTCCCTTTGGGTTCATTTCCTGGAGCGCGCTTTGGTGTGAATGTCCCAGCCTTTGCACTGGTATTTTTGTCTAATCTTCCACCTTTTGCTTGTTCTGTGTCTTGATTTCTTTGTTGGTTCCTTTGAGCCTGTTTTCATTGCCCACCTTTTTTATAAATACCTCTCTTTCTTCCCGCCTCCCTCTACTTATCTCCAAAAAGCCTTGAGCCCAAGCTTTGCCCCTCCTCAGTCCAGCTCCCCTCATCTCCTCCCCCTCCCAGGCAGAGAAACAGCAACTAGAGGAAGCCCTGAATGCATCTCAGGAAGAGGAGGGGATGCTGGCAGCAGCAAAACGGGCACTAGAAGCGCGGCTGGAGGAGGCCCAGCGGGGGTTGGCCCGCCTAGGGCAGGAGCAGCAGGCTCTGAACCGGGCCTTGGAGGAGGAGGCCAAGCAGCGGGAGGTGCTCCGGAGAAGCAAGGCTGAGCTAGAGGAGCAGAAGCGCCTGCTGGACAGGACTGTGGACCGCCTGAACAAAGAGGTGGGGTACTGGGCGGCCCAGGCTCCTAGGCAGTGCCAGGAGGTGAGGGGAGCAGGAGCATGGTGCTGCTTTCCTTAAGTTAGTCGTTGGGGATGCCAAGGCCAAGTCATCAGTGTGGCCTCCTTCCTGTCTCCCATCAGCGTTTTGCTCCCTGGAGTTTCTGAGAGTCTAAGGGATTCTCCCCTAGAAGTTGGTAAGAAATTAAAATTAAATTAGAAATTTAAATCATCATTGGTAGAATTTTGTATTAGGAGAAAGAAGAAAAGGAAATCTTTTTTTTTTTTTTTGAGGTAAGGTTTTCCTCCTAATCTTTTTTTATAAAGCTAGAACAGAAAAGGCCTCCCTGATGGTACAAGGGGTTAAATCTCTTCACTCTGAAGCTATCAGCAGCTGTTGCAGCACCAGTTCAAACCCTGGCCAGGGAGGTGAGCTACATGGCGCAGCAGACCTCTCCTGTCTTCACCCACTGCTCCCCTCAGCAGTGTGTTTCAGAAGATCTGCCTGTTTTGCTTCCCACTCTGTCTTTGATGAATCCTGTCACCCCTCAACCCCACAACTCTTGCCTACACCCTAGCTCTTACATGCATAAATAAATAAAATAAATCTTTAAAAAAACAAAAACTAGAGTAAACACCTAAAGTTTCATCATCAGTTGCAATGTATAGCATCTCTGAAAATCGGTATATGTCAGTTTCTTTTTGTTTTTAAAGATTTATTTATTGGGCCCTCCCTGGTGTCTCGATGGGTTGGAGTGCTACCATGAGAAGCTAAGCTGAGCCATGGCAGCTTCAGTGCATGTTCGATCCCCACCCCTAGGTGACTCACATGGCGCAGCAGACCTCTCTGATCTCCCACTGCTCCCCTCAGCAGTGTACTTCATTGATCTGCCTATTCTGCTCCCCACTCTGTCTCTGGTGAATCCTCTCATGACCCCTGCCCCTCTGGCTATACCCCAGTTTTTATTGCATAAATAAATAAATTTTTTAAAAAAAAACAGAGTGGGGAGCAAAACAGGCAGATAGACAAAATAAACTGCTGAGGGGAAAAGCGGGTAGGACAGGAGAGATCTGCTGCGCCATGTGGGTCAGCTCCTGGGCCAGGGATTGTACTCACACTGAAGCGGCTATGGCTAGCCTGCAGTGCTATGTACCAACCTGTAGTACTACTAGGGAGGGCCCTATGTCAGTTTATTATAACTGATGTTATTATAACTGATGGTATGTCGGTAATTCATTTGGCAGATTTATTTTTCCCTTACTGGTTCATTAAACCCAGGTTTGTTGAAATAAGGTTATTTCAAGTTAACCTTTCAGCAGGCACTATTGTGAGTACTTTATATAATTAACTGTCATAATTCTCACAACCACCTTCTGATATAGCTATTACTATCACATTTTACCACCGGGGAACTGAGATCCACATAAGTTAACTAACTTCCCTATAGACACACAATAATAAATGGCAGAGCCAAGCTTTGAGCCCAGGCAATCTATGTATTAAGTAGCCATTCTAGGGTCCTGGCCAAGAAGGAGTAAGAGAGGGCTGCTTTGGCAGAAGGAAGACCCTGGCAGGTTCTCTTGGGAGTTTGGGCCCTGAGGAAGGACAGAGACATAGTCAAGAGGCACAGTATTGACAACTGTCTTTTCTCTGCATCTCAGCTGGAGCAGATTGGAGAGGACTCTAAGCAAGCCCTACAGCAGCTCCAGACCCAGTTGGAGGATTACAAGGAAAAGGCCCGACGTGAGGTGGCAGACGCCCAGCGCCAGGCCAAGGAGTGGGCCAGTGAGGCTGAGAAGAACTCTGGGGGGCTGAGCCGGCTTCAAGATGAGGTAGGGGCCTAAATGGCAGGAAGGTGGGAACTCTGCCAGTGTTGTTGGTCTGTAGGCCATTTCCTCTTAACTCAACTTGTGACCAAGGAACCCAGGGACTCAGGTTTAGGTTTAACCACTTAGACATAGTAAGGTGGGATGCAGGACAGTTGTCCATCTGAGGTACAGACAACAGGGGATGTGTTGTCAGTGGAACAGCAATATTCCCTCTGTTAATGCTATAGAGCCACCTGGAGGAATGAAAAAAAAAAAAAAAAAAACCAATACAGGTTTACCTCACAAACAGAGAACATTCCTTTTGGTAGGTTATTTTGGGGGGTCTTGGAACCCCCTCAATTAAAATATTTAACTTTACTTTTTTTTTTTAATTTGATAGGTTACCCCCAAAGTAACCTACCAAATCATGTGAAAGGAATGTCCTATTTTCAGATAGTAGGGGAAACCTTTACCTAAGCTATTTCCCTTACCACTTAAATCATAATCCCTGGGACTGGGGCCCAGGATTGGCAGTCTGGAAATTCCTCAGGTGGTTGTAATTTGTGTAGAAACTTTTAAAACAATAAAGAAAATGAGCTACAAGTCAGCAATGTTTCTTGCCTCAGTGGCAGACTGCTCCCAGCCCTCAACTCCCACTTCCCTCTTCCTAGCCTGAGCTCTTGCATTTTTCCCTTGTGCTCAGACCCAGAGGCTCCGGCAGGCACTGCAGGCATCTCAGGCTGATCGGGACACTGCCCAGCTGGACAAAGAGCTGCTGGCCCAACGATTGCAGGGGCTGCAGCAAGAGGCAGAGAACAAAAAACGCTCCCAGGATGACAGGACCCGGCAACTCAAGGGCCTTGAGGTGAAGACAGTGTGTGACATGTGGCTAGGAGAAGGCAGGAGGGTTCCAAATCCTGGCACAGTGGGACTCTATGGAGACAGGTGCCAACACAGTCCAAGTCTCATGGTTACTATTTGACTACAGTATTTTTAAGCAGTTTTAAATTAATTTATGGGTCATACATAATTAATTTATGGATCACATAGAAATTAGCTTTCTGACTTGTTTTATACATTTGAAAATATGATAATGCTGAGCTCTAGTTTTGTGTTTTCGGCAGCAGTTGCTGAAGCTAAACTATGGCTTCTCTCCTTTACCGTGAACAGTGAGCCACAATTTGCTATATTTGGCAATAATAATAAAAATAATACCAATAACAATAGCAACAGTAGCAGCAAACACATATATTTTGCTGCTTGCAGCACTTTTAAGACTCAGAATAACCCTATAAAGTCAGGATATTTTCTCCTTACAGTCTGGGAAAACTGAGACAGAGGGAAGTTAAGCAAATTGGGGATCTGATATCTAAATGCAGTAGGTCCCAGAACCTACCCATTAGCCTCTACCTGGTACTATCTGGCTTGAATGTGCTCCCCAAATCTATATCCTGCCAACTCTCTCATCTCAGCCTTGGCCCAGACACTTGGTGTTTGTCTCTGTTTTCCCACCAGGGAAGCAGGGCCATCCCTATTGGGGCTTGTCATCCTGGCAACAGCCAAGTCCAGAGCTTGCCTCTCCCCTTCCCCTTGATACTGTACCTGGTCAGCAGAGGGCGCTAGCTCCAAGGCGACGCTGGACCAGGGGCGACCAGCAGGTTATAGGGATGATGGAAAGAGAAAAGTCTGTGGAAGCCAGGGTTTGAGCGGTCCTGGTTTGAGTTTAGCATTCTGGTGTCCAGCATTCGGGGCAGAAGTAACCTGTTTTTCTGCCACAGGAAAAAGTCTCACGGCTGGAAGCGGAGTTGGATGAGGAGAAGAACACTGTGGAGTTGCTGACAGCACGGATGAATCGTGGCCGGGACCAGGTAGCCCTTTCTGTACTCCTCATCTGTCTCCACCCTGACCATGTAAAAAATTAGCCCTCACCTTTCATAATCTGGAGAGTTCTACCTGTAGAACCTGTGCATACCTGGCTTTATTTTCAGGGTCTTTTCTGACTTGGGAAGAGTTGGTAGGTTTTATTGGGTGGAAAGAAGCCAAGAATTTGAGTGGAGGGAGGAATCTTGCTGGCCTGGACTCTCTCTGACTTGAGTCCATTCAGAAAAGATGCTTGAAGACATTGATTTCTTAGTTGCCTGAGAATTTGGGGGTTCAGAGCACAACCTACAGTTACTTTGTTCCGCTTGGTTCAGCTTGCTGGTTTGTTATTCGCCCTCCCCAAGTTTGATGCCTTTCACTTATCCCCGCCAGATGGACCAGCTAAGGTCAGAGCTCATGCAGGAGAGGTCTGCTCGGCAGGATCTGGAGTGTGATAAGATCTCCCTGGAGAGACAGGTGAGAGGGGTGGGAAGGGAGTGGATATGATCTCAGGAGGTGGGCAGAATGAGTATGGAAGAGATCAGAAGTGGAGGGGTAATCACGGGGGCAACCTGTCCCCCTTAGAACAAGGATTTGAAGAACCGGTTGGCCAGCTCAGAAGGTTTCCAGAAACCCAACGCCAGCCTCTCTCAGCTTGAATCCCAGAATCGGGAGTTGCAGGAGCGGCTGCAGTCTGAAGAGAGGTGATATGAGCCCCTCCCCATCTCTCCTATGGGGCTTTTCTTCTCTGGAACTACTTCATCTTCTACCTTAGACATGGCCAACTTGGCCTGACCTTTTAAGAAACTTTCTCTTGATAGAGAACAGGACAGTTGCAGAATTCTGAAATGTGAATGACCCCCAGTTCTTTCTGTCTGCCCTGGATGCTCCCTAGTCCCTGTCTAAGGGGGGTTGAGGGGGGTCACTCAAGACTGAGAGGAGTCCTTGGAGGCAGCGGGGAACCAAGTAGGGATTCCTTTAAAAGTGGTAACAGCCTGCCCTGTCTTTTTAGGGAGAAGACAGTTCTTCAGTCCACCAACCGAAAACTGGAGCGGAAAGTCAAAGAGCTGTCCATCCAGATTGATGATGAGCGACAGCATGTTAATGACCAGAAAGACCAGGTGAGATGGTAACCAGGACCAAGCAACCATATGGAAAGTATTTACTTTGCATTTGCTCGAAGACAAGGAAGGCCCTAGTTCCTAGGTTCTAAACTTAGCCCTGCCTTGTGTAAGGATAGAGAGACTAGACTGAAAGGACTGATTAGAATGGTCATTGAGCACATGTATTTTTGTGCTTAGGAGGTGCTAGGCGCTCTTTCTAAGTGTCAAGTATGTATTAACTCATTTAGTCCTCAAGACAAACCCACAAGGTCAGGTGACTTGCCTAGGGTCACAAACATTTTTACTAGGGGCAACAATCCCTTGTCAGGATTTCTGCAGAGGAGGGTCCCAGGCTATAGTGGGGTGCTTTTCTAATGTGGGTACTCGGTATCCTGCCCAGCTAAGCCTGAAGGTGAAGGCTTTGAAGCGGCAGATGGATGAAGCAGAAGAGGAAATTGAGCGACTGGATGGCCTAAGGAAGAAGGCCCAGCGCGAGCTGGAGGAGCAGCATGAAGTCAATGAGCAGCTCCAGGCCCGGATCAAAGCCCTGGAGAAGGACTCCTGGTACGGGCTGCTCACAAGGATAGTAGGGCAGGAAGGGAATGGGCTCTCCTATGCTGGATGGGAAAGAGAAGCTGTAAGGTGGGATTTCGTAGTCGTGCATTCCTGGCTGGAAGCCAGTCTGATTATCTTTTAGTATCTCAGCCCCCATCCTGTAGCCCATGTCCCCAAATTTCTGATCAGTGAGAAGCATTAAGTCTTAGAAGACCTAGGAGTTGTTTTAGCATGGAAAGGATGACTGTCTTAATCTTTCTTTCGCCCTCCCTGATCAGTATTCTCTCTGACTCAGGCGCAAAGCTTCCCGCTCAGCTGCAGAGTCTGCCCTCCAACATGAGGAACTGAGCTCAGATGAGGAATTCGATGGTGTCTACGACCCTAATTCCATTGCCTCGCTGCTTACTGAAAGCAATCTTCAGACCAGCTCCTGTTAGCTAAAGATCCACAGGGACCCAGAAACCAGGATCGAGGCCTATCCTGATCAGCCTCACTCTGTCCTGCCTAGTCTCAGATTCCCCATCCCTTTTGGGGAGCGGAGAGGGACGCCGCTGTTGGGACTTAAGACGGGGGAGGGATGTGAGTGGTAGGGATGAAAAAAGCAACAACACTAAGCTGGTTGACAGACTTTCCCTTACCGCTGGAGTATTGGGTATTTTAGGCCAACCGAGTCCTTAAGTGCTTAGCCCTCCGATTGCTCCCTCTCAGGAGCAGGATGCTCAGCATGTAGGGGGCTTGAGCACAATAGGAAGGAAGAGAAATTGCCATGTATATAAAGCTTTATTTCATTAGCCCTTAACGCCCAGGCTCAGGGATATACCTATGTGATTCTGCTCCCTTGACTCCTGCAAACCGCTTCCTTCCACTTGGGAGCAGGGTGAAGAGAATCCTGTGATGGACACGCTGGCGTGGCCCCATGTACTTCTTAGAAGCACCTCTTTGCACAGCCGTGGCACCCATGTGGTAGTCCTCGTCTCCCTCCATTCCTTTTGTTTTCTTTCTACAAGCTAGTCGGTCCAAGGGATCCTTTCTGCTTCTCTTCCTATCTTCATCATTCTTACCTTTCTTTCCTCTCAGTGCCTTAGTCAAGGCAAGGAAATAAGGACACTCTCCTTGCCTCTTACACCTGCACGTTCATACCTCTCCAAGGACCAGTCTTTCCCTACCTGGGGCCCTCAGCCTTGCATGCTGCCCCAGTGACCGACTGAAATGAGAGCTGCTAGCTCTCTGCCAATGAGCCCTTGGGAGAGGGACTCTGGTAGGGCCGTAATACGGTGGTAGGGCCTGGTTCTGCTCAGGGTTTCCACTCTTCCCCTTTCCTTATTTGACTATAGATGTGTTTTATAAGGTGGCTGTACCTGGGAACCCTGACAAGTTTGAAAAGTAGAAGGTCACAGTCTTTGTGGTCTTCCTTGAGATTTCTCTAACCAGATGTGCCCAGCCTCAGTAGGGAACCAAAAGAACCTTATTATCTCAGGAGTTTGGACTTGATACTTCCTGGCTGGGGCTAGAGCGTGACTCTCGGTAGAGATGAGAAGAGCAGTGGAGGATTTACTCTTTATGTTTTAGGGTGAGCCAACCTTTGGTGGGGAGGAGATAAGGGAGATGAGTCACCTCTCATTTCCTAAGCAGGTTCGATGAAGAACCTGGGGAAAGAAGGCAGTTCTCACCAATGACTTGTAATATCATGATTTTAGAAAAAAATCATCTTCTACAAATGAGATAATCTCTCCCAATCCAATTCAGCCTTGATTTTATTTAAATTAAATATTAAAAAGTATATGTCTATATTAAAATCCTTGGCGTGTCTTATTTTTTCTGGGTTTATTTGGAGGTACAAGTAGTATGAAAAAGCTGTTTACATCAAAACTGGAGTTCTCTTTACTTTGTAGATGCCCCTTACAACAGATCAGATGGATTCCAGGGAACCTGGAAATCCTTCTTGAACAAACTTCTAGGAATAGTAAGGCCAGTAAATGGCTTCTTAGAGGGTTGGAGGAGAAAGACCAGAACTGTGTTTTATTCCCCTGGAACAGAGGGATATTCCCTAAAATTCACCTCCCAGGCACCTAACCCCCCATCTCCGTTCCTACCTGGCATGGTACTCGGTCATTATCTCTACCCTTGTGTTTCTTGAAGAGGGAGCTAGGTGTTCACCAGGGCTTCGTAACGGGTTCGGAGGTGCTACCCACTCAGAGCGGGTCAGATCTGCCAGCTATCCCCGCTGCCTCTTACCAGTGGGGCAGACACCCAGAGCACAGCTGAGCTGGGGGAGGCTTCCAGCTCTTCTTTCCAGACCTTTGAGATGCTAACCTGTGCTTGGGGAGTAAATACCATTGGATCAGTTGATGCACATCCTTTTTCAAGACTACAAATTTCCTTTTAAGGCAACGAGTCCCGCCTCTCCCAACCATATAAGGTCAGCTTTGGTATAATAGCTTCTGCAAAACAAGCCTCACCCAGAACCAAGCAGCCTTTGACTTAAGCCTGGGCTACCTGCCAGGGAAGGGCACCTGCCAGACTGGCTTAGGCCAGTCTGAGTGAGTTGGCCCTTGCATTTCCATGGTGGAGGAAACGTTTGCTCAGCCTCTATATATGGAAGGAAGAATGAATGTATGGACGCTTTTTCCCCAACTCCTCGTTATCTAAAGAGAGGCGGGATGATTTTCTCTTACCGAAATTTATCTTAGAGGCGAAAAGAGGAGACAAAGATTGATGATGACTGCCTGAAGTGCAACCACACTTCAGTTACGCAGATTCAGCTCGCTCCCAAATCCCACCTTTACGGAAATTTGAGAGCGCGGGCGGCCAAGTCCTGGACCATCTGGGCCACGCCTGCTACGCTTTTTAGCTCGCTCTGATTGGTGAGTGGCGCTGTCGGGGAGTGTCCTGAAAACATCCCCGCCCATAACGTGCCTATACAAGGGGGCGGTTCCTTGCGCACTCGCCTAGTGGGACCCGGACCGCAAACAAGAGTGTTGTCGTCGGTGCTGTGATCCCTGCGGAAAGAAAAGAAAATGAACGGGACGCGCAGCTGGTGTACTACGGTGGACGTGCACCCGGAGGGGCAAATTGAGGTAAGAAAAAGAGGCAGCCCAGCCCCCGGGATGGGTGTGCTCAGCTTCTAATTCCGCCCCTCGGGTGCTTTGCGCGGAGGTCGTTCACCACCTGGTGCCGCGCTCAGAGCGCGTACCGAGCTTCAGAAGGAGCTCCGCTCTCTTTTTCTGCCGTCCCACGGAGGGCAGTGGGAGTCTTGGGGTGTCGCGACATGACTCTTTTGAAGCTCGAGGACTCGGTGTCCCCGCCCTTTGGGAGGACACTGCGGCTTCTGCCCGGGACTCGACGCCGGTTAGCAGCGCGCGTCACCCGGTGTCCTGTGGACTGTAGATTGGGTCGTGGGAGACCCAGTTGCAGGGCTGGGATCCCTGCGCTGCTTTGGACTTTGTGTCCTCACAAGGGCGATTAGGTTTTTCCGTGGTCCTGGCAACCTCAGAGGCCCTTCGGAGATTTCCTGGTGCTTTGGGTGATCGATAACCAGACAAAGGGTAGAGAGTGAAATCCTTGGCTTTGGCTAGAGTTTGGGGGCGATAGGACGCCAGCGACGCGGAGATCGACCTGAGACTCTGCCTTTCGCTAGGATGGTTAAAGCTGTCCGCTTGGGGGTCACCTCTCGGCTTAGGTTTCTCCTCCCCCACCCCTTGCATTTCTCCGGCTTCCCTCCGCCTATCGGCCGGCGCTTAACTTCCTGGGACGGGTTGTTGGTTTTGCTTCCGTCTCCAGCCTCCAAGCTCTGGGCTAATAGTGGATGAAGGGGTGCCAGAAACTAGGTTGAGAAGGGAAGGGAGGTGAGTCACTTCTGGACCGAGTGAGGGTCGGGGAGAAGGTGCTAACCCATCTGCCCTGTTGCCTTTCACCCCCTGGCTCCCAGTCCGTGCTCATCTGTTGTTCCTTCTCAAGAGGCTGAGGGTGGTAATTAGCGATTGAATGTTTTAGGCTCTGCTGGAGAATTAATTCAGAATGTGTGAACACTGTTTCATCTAGTTCCAAGCTACTGTTGAGAATGAAGTGGGACGCAAGGTGATGTGGAATTTGTATCCCTCCCTCCTTCTACACTGAATCTCTTTCCCCTCCTCTCTTCTTGTCTCAGCCTGCCCTGAGGTAGAACTAACCCAGGGGCACCTGGATTATAGCTCTTTCAGTTGCTCATTTCAAGTTGAGGGTACAGATGATCACTTAATACTATCCACAGCAACTGCTCCATTTCTGCCCAGACTGAGTGTTTCTACCACACAGGTCTTGCTGCTGCTCACCAGTCCTCCAGTTCTAAGTCTTCTATAGACTGCTGCTCCTCTATCTCTGGTATGCTGAGAAGATGGGGAATAAATCTGTCCCCTGCTGTGTCATCCCCAAGTCTTGCTCCCCGCTCTTGCTCATTGTGTTGGAATGGTTGAGGCAGGGGAAGAGGTATGAGGAAAATAAAGAAGAGGGCTGTTTTAGCTCCTTTTTTACTTGCTGTAGAAAAGAGATATTAATACCAAGACCTCAGCAGTTTTCAGAATGAATTAACATCCTCTTTCATCCCTTTATGTTTGACTGCTTGTCTGGCAGGCCCATAAGAGTCAGTAGGGAGTTAGTGAGTACAGAAATCAGTCTCTAACCATAGATTATATTACTTCAAGTTGAGAATGAGATTGTCACTACCCAGATATGTCTTGGAGACGTTCCTCAGTTCTTAAGGAAGGTTAGGAGATGGTAAACAATCAAGCAGTCAGAAGACAGGCTTTGTCCTGGATTCCACTCCTCTGAGCCAGCCAGCCCAGATAGAATTTATGACTCTGGATAGTCCCCAGGAAACTGTCATATATTTACCCTACTGAGCGAATGAATGTTCAGGGCATTGTGCACAGTGAGTGATAAATAAATATACAAATGTTCCTTTTGGTGTCAATAATGTAGACCGTTTAAGTGGGTGGCGTGTCCGAGAGGCAGTCAGGAGCTGGGACTTTGCTGGTCACCAGCTAGGCCATTTGCCTGAGTTCACCACGTCCTTCTAGAAGGACATGGAAGTATGGCTGACATGCTCTCTGGGTTATTTTTATTGTCCGAGGCAGATGCAGCAGATGCAAGGAGGATTTTTCAGACTGTATACCATAACCACTCATGGTGGGTCTGAAATCAACTTAGTGGGTCGGAGTTAGCATTAAAAAAAGAAATAGATTCCGACTAAATGACATTCTAGAAAAGGCAAAACAATGGAGACAGTAAAAATATCAGTGGTTGCCAGAAATTTGGGGTGAGAGGAGAGATGAATACATAGAGCAAGGATTTTTTTTTTTCCCTTTTAGGGCAGTGAAAATGTTTTATATGATATTATATGATAGATATGTTCTTACACTTTAGATTTATCTAAACTTATAAAATATGCAACACCATTTACTTTGTTAGAATGAACCCCAAGGTGAATTGTGGATTTCAGATGATAATGATGTGTCAATATAGATTCAGCATTGGTTAAAAAAAAAAAAAAAAAAAAAGGTACTATCCTGGTGAATGATGTTGAGAATGAGGGAGGCTGTGTATGTGGGTGGCAGGGGGTATATCAGATATCTCTGCACATTCCTCAGTTTTGTTATAAATCTAAAACTGATCTAAAAATAAAAAGTCTTTAAAAAATAAAAATCAATGCTTTTAGAGTTAGGGTCGACATTTTTGATAAAACTATTGTTTAAGTCATATACACATATGCATGTTTACTAAAGCGATACAAAATGTGCTTTTTTAGGTGAAAAAAGTTTGTAAGTTACTGGAGTAAGTTATACTGGAAAATAAAAGCACAAAAACCTCAACCATTTTAATTAAACATTTCCATTGTTTCTTTGGTTATAAGCACCAGAAAGTGACCTCAGCTAACCTGAGCCAGAAAGGATTTTATTAAAAGGCAATAGGCAGCTCACAGAATTTAAGGGAAAGCTTGAAATGACCAAACCTAAGGAGTACAGAGGTAGAAGCAACTGTGGAGGGTTCCTACTTCTGCATGAATTGGTTCCAGCTGTCTGGGTCTTTTTCTCATTCTGCTTAAGATTCCAGGGAAAGGGCGCCACTGGTCCCTAACAGTTCCACCAGACTATCCAGGAGATTCTGGGCAGATTCTCCAGTCTTTGGGAGATTCTCCAAGGCAACACCCAAATAAATGCTTTTTACCAGTGGGAGAGTGGAAGCTGTTGCAAAGCAAAAGATCATCACTGCATTAGACTCTGGTTTTGAATGGCCTGTGATAGTCTTTCTTTTTCTCATTAAATCATTCTTTATCAAAGGAATTTATAATGTAATTTTTATTTTTGTTGTGAAAACAACAAGATGTCACCTTTTATTTTTAAATTTATTTTATTTTGTGTATGGTTTTTAAAAGATCTAACAATGTCAAAAGTCTTTTTAAGAAAATAGCAAGCCATTTGCTACCCCAAGAGTCTTTTTTTTTTTTGAGTAACCATTTTTGATTCTTTTACCTCCTTTGTTGTCTACCTCCATGTTTCTAATTAATATGCTTCTAGTAATTTTTATGATGCATCAGTTGTACACATTTATTAATTTCTTGTTGTAAGAATTATAAGGTTTATACTTCTACTGCTTACCAGCGCCTTCTCCCTTCTCCCATCCTCCTATGTAATTACATCCAAAAATTTTGACTAAACTATGATTTCTATTAATAACATTATGGTTAGGAGTCCAGTTTTGGGAATTTGACCCAGTGGACTGTAATCAGGGCTTTGATGTTTGCTTTGCCCAAGATCCCTTCAGTAATTTACTTCAGCTCTTCAGTCTGTTTCCTCATCTGAAATAGGGATAATGGCACCCTTCTCATAAGGTTGTTTGAGGATTAAATAAGATAATGCATATGAGACATGGAGCAGAGGCTGGCACATGGTAAGTAATCAGATGTTAGCTATTATTTTGTTTGCCACTTACTGTTTAGATGCCATTGTCTCCTCTGAAGACCCCTGGCCAAATAATGAAGTAAGAGTCTGGGAACTGGTCTGGTGCCGCCCTTTCTCATTATGTTGAGATGACTTTGTTCCCATCTGTTCTTTTGTTTTTTCTCTGCCAGTTTAGGGTCCTGAGGATGAGAAGGCACTTTTGGTGTACACAGGGTAAAGACCTTGAATACCCTTTGCTAGTTCCAGCCCAGCCAGGACTGATCTTAAACAGATTGATGGTCTGGGTTTATGTTGGGATCCCTCTCTGAGTCCTTTTCCTCCTCCCTCTTAAACCTTATGAGTGAAGTTGCTGGTATCCGATAATGCTCTGGGCTCTTTGATAAGGTGATTCCCTTTATGTAATCTATCAATGTTACCCCTCTTTGGAATGTCTGCATCAGTCCTTCCTTAGAATGTCTGCTTTTTTTTTCTGTCTTAATCAGTCTTGGCCAGAGAGACTCAGTGCCTGGGATATGGAATCATTTCATTATTTGTATAACCTTTATTTTTATCCTGTAATAAGTATCTTGCCTTAAAAAATGTACAAAATGATGTAAAAATAAACTTTTGTAATAAAAAAAAAAAAGGTTAAGCAAAAAAAAAAAAAAAATTTAGTATCTTGCCTTTAGGACCTTAAATTTTCAGTTAGGTTAATACCAAGTTTTTCCTGAGTCCCACTCTTTTTTTTTTTTTAATAGCGAAAGCAGTGGTTTTTTTAAGGCATACCATGGTCTTCATTTTCTTTATGTAACAACATTATTGAACTATACTTCACAAACCATTCAAATCACCCATTTAAAGTGTGTGATTCTATAGATTTTAGTCAGTTCACAGAATTGTAGTCGTCAACACAATCAATTTTAGAATATTCATTATCCCATAAAGAAATCTTGACACATTAATAGTCACTCTCCTTCCCCTTCTACCACCGGCAACTCCCAGTCTTTTTTTTTTTTTTACTTTATCTATGGATTTGCCTGTTTCTAGATATTTTATGTAAGTATAATCTTATGTTGGGAGCCTTTGTGATGGACTTCTTTAAATTAACCTGATGTTTTTAAGATTGAACCTCATTGTAACACAAATCCGTATTTCATTCCTTC